CATAGGTAGTCAGGTACTTTTTTTCATGCAAGCATTTCTAGCCCCTTTGTACAATGTTCAACCATCCATTGTACAACTAGTAGGTCTGGCATGTCATTCACATTGTGGTCAGATAGAACATCAGCTAACTTTAAGTATTTTACTATTGATAATATATAGTGCAGAGTTAGAACCACTAATTACTACTTCAACAAAGCTGTATGTGTTTGGATAACAAAAAAATATATATTTCTGTTTTTTTTTTTTAAATCAGGGATGTTTATTCATTTAACATTCAGAACCACAAATCAGGATGAGTTGAAGGCTGAAAGACTTGCAAGTCATTATTTGGACTTGCCTCAGGTTTGTTTGTAGTCTAACAAATACATTTACATTTTCCCCATTAAAACTACTGTATCCCTACTAAATGATGGCTTTTGACTGTTGGTATTTCTCCTCGTAGGCATTAATGTTTACTAGATCAGCCTAGAACGTTTCGTCAGATTTTACTTTCACAAGTGGAGCAGTACGGCTATCGCCATACAGTAGTGTTCCGCTTGATTTATGTATATAAATTGCGTTATTATAATTCATGCAAGGAGTTTTACAGATTATATGGACACTGCAATGTAAGTAGAACAGGAAAGGAAAACAGAAAAAAAGGAGAAAAGATGAAAGAAAGAGGAGATAAAAGCTAGAAGACTTGTGCATGTAAAGTTTATCCAGACAAAAAATGCTCAATAGTGGTACTGAAGAGTACCCAACAGCCCCCCACCCAGAGCACTGATTCCAAAGCCATTGAGCTTACTATCTATCATAGACGGTGGAGCAGATATTCAGTCTTATTCCAAAGAGTTCTTTATTTAGCCCACTAATTTAAGCTTTTCTGGTTTTTAATATGCTTTTAATTTGGCAAAATCTTCATCAGTTTGAGATTTTAACCTCCATCGAATTTTTTTGTGGATTTCCATGACCTTTTAGTTATGAAAGAACCATTCTTTTCCTTTTTTTCTTTTTAAATCTTACTAGTTTTTTAAGCATCTTGAGATCTAACCAAGGGATCTGACAAACATTTTGTACTTCCATTGTTTTAATTGATAAGATCATGGAAAGAACTGGGTTATATTCATTAAGATTTTATTTAAACTACAGATTTTCCTTTGTCTGCCAGGAAACAGTTTCTTATTGCCTCCCAGTTTATACATGCAAGATCTAAACACCTTTGAAAATCTTTGACTTTAGGGTTTTTTTTTCTTTCCTGACGTTTCCCTGTACACCTTTCGCTCTGTAAGGGTATAACATCTGAAGACCTTTTCAAACATATAAACCTGCTTCTCCCAAAGTGTCACCCCATTCAAAAGCAAGCGAGCAGGTTTTTTTTCTTAGCCTTGCCATGTTTAGGCCTCATTCTCTATGGGAAGGGGTTTTTTGTAACCGCCTTTGAAAAGCGGCAGTTTGAGTCAGGTTGGGAGAAAAGGAAGACATCTTGTCAAACTGATCTTAAGCAATGCATAAACCTATATTTCCAGAGTCTTTTTTTTCAGGGCAGAAATTGTTTTCTTTAACAGTGTGTTCAGATGTAGAGCTCTGAGTAATGGTTTTAATTTTCAGTACAAAGAAAAGGATAGTGACAGCAAAATTTGTGGAAAGTGAAGGCTGATATGAAGAATTTTCCCCCTGGAGAGGAAAAAGTAAGCAGAGATGTCAGAGAGCTGTAGCCTAAACACCTAAAAAAAAAAAAAAGTCACCATGCGCAAGGATTTTAAATGGTTAAATATTCAGGTGAACATGTAAGCAACCATACCAAACAATAGCTATTAATGACCCAGGTGATGATCTGGCAGATTTGAAATTCTCCCATAAGCCTCTAAATTCTAGGTTGAGCTTCTAAAAGCACCCAAAGAAATAGTACAGAAAAACATTGACAAAAAATTAGCAAAGGTCTGGTTGCCTTTGATCAAAGCCTGCTGCAAATTCCATGACTCAGATTATTCAAACACAAAATCAAACTTTCTTTTGACCTCTTTAAATGAGCTCCAACAATTCTTATCAAAATAAATGTTAATATACATTTAGAATAAAATAAAATAGCAGTTCTAGTAATGCTGTCATTTTCCTAAGGATCTCTATTAGCTGTTGTCATGATAAACAGCTAGTCGTTCTGAAGTCCAAATTCAAAACCTAGAATAAAACCAAAAAACGGTAACGCACAAAAGATTACCACAAAAAAGGGATAGGATGGAGACTCAGATTATTTTAAAAAGATAATTTGTTGTGAATGCAGCAGATGTCTCGAGGCAAATTATGTCAGAAAATGAAAAGAACAAAAGATGTAAAATGTCAAAATATACTGTAAATGAAAGGGGGAAACTTGTAAATTAAAAAAAAAATGAAATCAGAAATATTTTAAAAAATAAAGACAGCAGCCAATTTAGAGACAAAATGAAAAAACGTAGACTGTTCAAAACATGCATTGATGTACAAAAACACTGATAAGATTAAATTTGTGATATTAAACACTTAATGCGCCTGTTGGGGCAGCTGGGAAGAAGGATCTGCAGTAGTGTTCTTCTGTGCACCGATGGTGCAGAAGCCGTTCCACCAAGGAGATCTGGAGTTCTTTATTAGTTCAATGCATGGGCTGGAAGATATTGTAAAAAAGTAAGTTGGTGTCTTTGAGCTGCATCTTAGTAAGATACATTTAATACAACTTCATTGTGTGTATACAGTTATATAGATATTCTATGAAAGTGTTTAAAATCACAAAAAGTTCTATATTCTATCATTATGTCATTCTCAATATGGAGTGAACTCTCCCACATCAAAATTATTTTGCTCACATAATAAATAGTGTCCCCACTGTTCGCAATATGAATGATCCTTTTGGAGGCTATATGCAACATTAATCTATCTAAATTATTCTGGTAATAAGGAACTTATGCTTTGCATAAAATCTACCCTGCAGTCCATAGAAATACTTGGGTAACTCATATTCTCCTTTATTCAATATTTATTTCTTTTCCGTTGTGATAATAGTTTTAAATGTATATGTTTGTTTTTGGTAGAATAATACAGATGGTTCTGCAGCATAGTTAATTACTGAATTAAAAAAAACTATTTAATGTGAATTCATTGCATTAAGCAGATATGTTTATTTTCCTGGTCTCATTTTCTCTTAAATCTTCACATATGTTAAGCAGCAGGATTCTAGTGAATACGACCACCAAATGACTGTATGCCTAATAGTTGCAAGGTTTATTTTAAGACATGCAACATTTTATGCTAATAGGGTGATCTGAAGGAACAACCCATAAGATACTGATGCATAAACATATCCACCTGTTCTGATGTTGGTCAGGATGAAGCTACGTGGGCATGATGAAATGCACAGCTGTGTCTGATGCAGCTGAAGGATCCTACCCATGTTCAATTAGCTCAAGCTGTATATCTTCACACTCTGAACGAGGAAAACAAGAACAGTTGCGATGCATTTTCTTAATTAAATATTCATACAAACGGTTTGCTGAACTACTAATTGTTTCAGAAGTGTTGTGATGACAGCAGTGGAACTCATCTGCATGGATGTTCTATGCAGAGATTTCAGCTGAGGCTAAAGGAACGCAAAAATATCACATTCTGTATGGTTTCTGCTCATTTTAGCCACAACTGAGGTGGCTGGTTAAATGGCCTACATCTAACCTGAACTCCTTCATGCAAGCGGGTGGTGAGGTTATCATTGTTAATAAATAAAAATTTATCGAAAGGACAACAATTCATCAATGCAAGAAAATTCATACAGGCATCTGAAAAGAAATGATTGAAGCATTAGAATTGGAGATTAAACCACAGACACTTTTCATTGTTTAAAAATAAAAAACAATTTACATTTATTTATCTGTAATTGTGTAGATTTTTTTTACAGAACCTGACATGTACATGGAGTTTAGTTAGCTCTGATAGTCCCGCTGTTAGAACCAAACATCTAAACTGTGCTTGCTTTGAAATAATATGGCTCTCTGCAATTATAATTTCATGAAAAATATTTAGATAGATATAATTTTCTATGAAACATCACAGAAAAGCTGTATTTTTTTTATCAGTATAAAGGTTTTATATTGATAAAAAATATATATAAATGATGAGGAAAAACAAATAGGCCAAGTATTTTTTTAACTAATTTAATAAATGAGTCATTTACAAATTAAAACATGTATAAGTTAATAATTTCTTTGTTTTAGTCAGTTCTAGTTTCTCATACATTTAGTTTAGTTCAGTTAAAATGAAAAAAATCCTTTAATTTAACTGCACTTTAAATGTGTATATTCTCTTCAGCTGCATATTTTTTTTAATTTGACAGGTCACTAGTCTATCACAGATAAAGATAATTTTGAAAACTAAAAATGCATAGAGGTTAAAATCTATATAAAAATATAAATGTAACCAAGTTAGTAAATATCTTCCATGGCATAATATTATTATTTCATCTTTGGATTTAACCACGACTCTAGTTTTATGTAATATTTTTTAATTTGTGAAATTCTTCACCAAGCATGTTTTTCATCTGACAGCAATCATGCTTCAGAGCTGAAAGACATTTAGATGTAAAGAGATTTCCTAATGCAATGTAAATATCTCTTCATATTTTATTTCATCAGTGCTTCTCTCAGAAAAGTGTGATTAGATTTCCTCTCTGCAGCGGAAAAGCAGGCAGAGCACTTCACAGCTGTAAAAATGGGATTTTAACTATCAGCAGCACATGAGGACCGAGGCTACCAGCTGATTAAAGGTTTGATTATTTGACAGGGTTCATCAGTATCTGTCAATATGTAGGCTGAATCTGTATCTAAATAGAGCTGGGAGGCAACCTGAATGATCTGCAGTCAGATTAATCGACCTGTGTGTTAAGATAAATATTTATTCTGTGGTAAAACATTGATATAGGATTGTTTAATCGTCCATTCCAGTTAATAAAAAGCAAATGTATCACACCAATCTAATTTTGCTCTTCCTCTTCCCCACAGGAAGATATCCAACTCCTGGCTGAGTACTGGCTGGTTCACTATGACCATTGCTCTAGAGCTCTGCGATAGGATCAATGTGTACGGCATGGTGGCCCCGGACTTCTGCAGGTGAGACTGTAGGCATGAATATCAATGAACAGTTTTCAGCCAAAACCTGAGCTGCAGTAACAGCAGCACAACAGGGCCTGATAAGAAAATTAGAATAGTTTCAAGAAGAAACGATGGCTGATAAGCTTTTGACAGCAGATGTTTATGCAAAACTCATCCCATAAAAGCTTTCCCATTATTAATCTTATTTACAGATATGATAGTAATTTCTGTTGCAGTTCTTCAAATGTTATAACATTTTTACCCTTCATTTCAATTGCTTTTTTTTGTCTGAGGGGCGGAGCTAAAGCTGGGAGCATTTGGGAGTATTTGCTGGCTTAACTATCTAGAGACGGAACATTCTACCATTTAATCTTTATAAATTTAGCACAATTTTAAGATTGGATTGCGGTCTGGGCTTTGACTGAGTTATTTTATCACACTGCTGTTTGATGCAATACACTCCATTAAAGCTGTGGCTGTTTCTAAGTTCCTACAGCGACAACTGTTTAAGGCTACCTGCATATAAGGCAGGAGTATTTTTTAGCACTAAATAGGACTCCTAAATGGGTTACGGTAGTAACAGCTGGATTTATTTGTAAGCTTTGCACCTGTCTTTATCAGGGAAGCCAATAAGTAAGAAAGCATGTGCAGCCTTTCCTAAATGCCCACAGGTGAAAGCAGGTAGAATATAAAGAGCAAGAAAGAAGTGTGTTGAATCATTTATGATTGTTACTTCGTCACAAACAGTCCATGACAGGACAGTGAATCCATGTTAGAGAACTATGGATTTATTATGATCCCAGACTCAGGTTTGTTCCTGTCTAGCAACCTTGTTAGCGGCATTTATTGATTTGATTTACGGCTCACATCTCAAGGAGTACTTTAATTGCAGCATTTCACTGAACAAGCAACAAACCTTATTAGATTTCTCAATAGAAGCAAACAATGTTCAGCATATCCTCGACCCAGGCCCAGATCGATTAAAGAGGCTTTTCTTCTCGTTGGTTATTTAAGGTCCACCTACAAATTCAATTTCCACAGACATGAAGAAAGAATGCCGCTTCATTTCTTTGAGAAATTGCTTGCAGATTCTCTGCGATTCATTGTCGTTCTCATGACAACTGAGGTTTGCAGATTTTACTCAAAGTCAGCAGTCTGTGGATTTAGAACATCTTTTCAAATATTTTTTTTCCACTGGCATGTCAAATCAGCTCAATTAAATGCAATTTTTGTGCAAATATAATACAACCAAACAAGATACTTCTCCTCTGCGATAATTCAATAAGTAGTGTAAAAAAAAAAAAAAAGAAAACAGAATATGAAAACATAAAGTAGATAAGTATATCATTATTTGGATAATCTAAACAATTCTTCCTTGGATCAGTTGGGAGTTCTCACTGAGATTTACTGGAACAATCATAGTTAGGATGAGGGTGTGAGTAGGATGGAACATGCTCACATTGTTGTTTCCTGCATTGTTGTTAAAACAAGACCCTGGACTGAAGATTGGGACATTTCATTTAACCTTCCAGCTTGTCTCTCTGTGCTCTGCAGGAAGCCTGGTGTGTTCAGTATCTGCAGCTGCTGCACTATAAGAAAAATTCCTTCTTAACTTACCCCTAACAACACATCACTGGATGAGAAACACTAGCAAACTATAAGTTGTGTGCAGCTTTGGGAGGAAGCTATTTGTGTTTTGAGGACAGAGCTGTATGAAGAAGTGTGTTTAAAAAGCTATTAACTTCTGCCTACTCCTATACAGATAAGCTTTTTTTTTTTTTGGTCTTGTGCAATGACGCAATTGATGTATTTATGTTTGTCCAAATAGCTGAATAAATAACCTAATTTTTCTGCTTAATAATTAGCAAAAGATGACTTATTCCTATAAAAATCCTAAAATAGTTATTTTAAGTTATGTTTTACCAGCTGAAACTTGCATTGTATTTTGCAACAGGAAATTCAATCTGAGAAACCCACAGAGAGAGAAAGGTGTAATCAGAAGAGTTTATTGATACAATAGTTTGAACTTTGGCGCTCAGGCCTCGGTAGGAAACATAAACGCTGATTTATACTTTAATGCAGATAAACTGATGTATGAGAATAAGGATATTTTCCCCGGGCCTGAAACTGGTGGTGGAGTTTAGATAGATGAAGTTTGGTTAATCCATAGAGGCTGGTATCCAGGATGATGCTTGAGTTAGATGTCACTGAATGAAAAAGGTTTGCATAAACTGTCCATGAACTGTCCATGAAGAGCAAGCATGAAGCGACTGTGGAGAGAAAAAACTCCCCTTTGGGAAGAAATCTCTGGCAGAACCAGGCTCAATGTGGCGGTCTTCTGCCGGACCGTTTAAAGTGACAGGGAACTCCATGAAAGTCTGGAGGGAGTACACACTGGAGGTGAGGTTGAAGGAGCATCGAGGAGGAGTCGGATGAGCTTACTACGATGGTGGAGAAGGGGATGGAGGTGGATTGTCTGAATCAAAGTCCGACATAGGAGCAACGGATCTTGCGCTTGTTGAAGAGCAGGCCTAGAGATGATTTGGAGTGGCTTTTAAGTAGAGTGCTGGAAGATGATTGGGCATCGAGGAAATGTAGCTTGAAGCGAGTTGGCTGCATCGGAGGCGGATCAGCCTCAGATTGAATGGAAGTAATCAGAGTTTCTTCAGTTGAATTTCCGCCTTAGCTCCATTTTAGACTGGTATAGATTTCTCAGTAAGATAAAAGAAATAAACTCTGAATGTTCAATGGACTACATATAAAAGTTTGCACATATTTCAAACTGAGCAGATATTTCAAAGCGTCTCACGTGTTAAGTTCAATATACCAGGCAAAGTTGAGCTCATGTTTTTGTTGCTACCAGGTTTAGATGTAAAATTGCTTTAAAGTAATTAAGAAGTTAGTTTATTATAGGGAATTAAATGGATAGCTCTCAAAATATGAGAAATAATATAGGTGAAAGGCTGATCAAGATGGGGGGGAAAAAAAGAGAAGAAAACAGAATCTGGTCCTATTTAAAAAAAAATTGTCTTTAAACCATTTTCATATTCAGTTGAAACATCTAGCAATATAACATTCAAACCATACTTATAACTGGGGACCAGCTTTGTGCTTGGTTCCTCTGGTATTTTGATGATTTTTCTTTGGGAATAAACTTCAGATTTTTGAGGTTGAAAGGACTCCTTTCTATCGCCTTACTGATTCTCTCAGATTCAAGCCAGAACTCGTGCTTACTCCCTTTAAAATGTAAATGTTACTCCCAGTTAAAGAAACATGAAATTAAAATATCACTTTAAGCTTTTATAAGTCAGGGGTATTAATAATTCTGGGCTTACTCAGTATTCGTTCAGACTCATTTTTACAGGACATTTCATTTATTTTACTGCTAATGTTGGAGCACTGACTTGAGATTAAAAACAGTTCACTTTCCACCCCTGAAAATTTAAGCCTAACCATTTTTAACCCAGACATTCAACTTAATCCAGTCTGTCATATAAGGAGACAGAAGCAGACTTTGTGGAGAAAAGGAAAACATGAAAAATTAAAACCTAATTTGCCTCAAATTCTCACGAGTGCCGCAGTCGTCAAATATATGTCATGTTTATAAGCAAAGAAGAAAGACGTGAGTTTTTAAATAATAAAAACTTGGAATTTGAAATATTATACTGGACACTCATCCACTTGCTGCTGTTTTTAAAGAAATGCAAACCGACGTGAACAATCAGCCCAGTTATTTAAAAGTTGCTTGTAGAGTGATAGACATTATCAGATGAGAGAAGAGATGACAATATTAATATGTGAAATATATATGCACATCAGGAGACTGTTTAATATATGATGAATAACAACATTGGGATGAATGATGTGGCTGAAAATGCTGAATTTCAAAAATTGATCAAATGCCTCATGAATATTTCAGAAGTATCTGACTGATGTGCTTTCAGAAAATAACAAGGAGATGATCTAAATAGTGTGGGGACCATTTGAGAAATTTCCAATTCTAACTCTATCACCTCTTAGTTAAACTGAAAGATCAACCAGTCAATAGTTGGGATCAGTTCTGAGATCTCCACTTAAAATTCAAGGCAAAGCCAATAGATTAATATAGCACTATTCATAAAAATCATAATGCAAAGTGATTTACAGAAAAAATCTAAGAAAGAATGGGGTGAAATAAAAGTAATTAAATATAGTAGCAGAAAAAGTGTTCTTAAAAGGAAAGGAATAATAAGATTACATTTCGAAACAAGAGGGAAGATGTGAAAATTAAGCTAAACTATTGATCCAAAAGGAAAAATAAACATTTTAAATCATCCTATAGGGGTGACTTGAATGAGTCATTGTAGGTGTTAGTCTCCTGTAGTGGTCTGCCTTAGCTGATCTGAAGAGGCCTCTGATTGAAGACACTGTTGTTTGATGGCCCTCTAAAGACGATTCTCCCATTTGTCTTCAATGTTCTTTATTTTATGAAGAATTATTCCTAGAGGAATCATCCCTAGAGGTTCTAGAGGAGTTGATGTTACCCCAGCAGATTTTAGCAGGAGAGACCTTTCACAGGAGACCAATAGAAGATATGAAGAAAAAACCTATAAGCTTCCTGAAGAAGTTAAGTTTTTGTAGGCAGCAATGATAAGGATACACTAATAAAATATTATTTGACCTCTATTGGAAATTTCAAAAGTGTTTTAAACCAGTATCAGGGCAGTTGTGTGGTGGAGAATCTGCCTGGAAGGCATTAAAATTAAAGATTGTTTGGGGGTTTTGTGATAAACAATTTTGGTGGGTTTTCACTAAAGGGTTATTCTGTAATTAATTACTTTGAATTTACCCAGATCAGGTTTCTTTAAGGCGGTTTAGTTAGCTCACTTTTCTTTTTTAAGTTGCAGGAAGAAATGGAGGATCCAAGTGAAGAAAAGCATCTTAAAGTGTTACCAACAGACAACATAGTGATCATCAAGAACTGGGGGTCTTTTTACGACCAAGTCACAAAGCAAACTTCTAGATATGACTCAGGTTTAAAAGATTTGATCACTCTACAAATGTCCTGTGGTTCTTATTTTGTTTTTTTAGGGGTTTTGCATTTTATCGGCGTTTTTTTTTTTAGCCTGCATCCAACAATATGAAATACTAATATTTACCAATTTGATCTGGCATTTAGAGTAACAATATATATTTGGTAAGAAAAAAATTGCAAAAACTTCTATGCATTTGAACCTTGTGCTTATGAATACTAATATAACTTACTACTTTTAGGAACTTTTCTAATTTTCTCATTTCAGGCTTGGATGAAAATGCCACTTTAAACATGGACCTAATTTGACTTATCTGTTCAGCAAATGATGAATTAAGGCCAACCATGCCCCTTCCACTTGAAATGAAAAATGCTTCCTGATATAATATAAAACTCATTAAAATTTTCCCAAATGTCTCCCTTTTCCTGTCTCTGCAGGGAACCTCAGCATCAGTCTGTCCCCTACCACTACTATGAGCCACGGGGCCCAGATGAGTGTGCCATGTACATCTCTCACGAGCGCGGCAAACGCGGCAGCCACCACCGTTTCATCACGGAGAAGCGTGTGTTCGCCAACTGGGCAAGGACGTTTGACATCCACTTCTATCAGCCAGACTGGAGTCCCAAGCCCCTCCCGGCCAACCGGACGCTGGAGGGAACGGCCCCTGCAGCCCTGCAGAACACGTGACTGCTGATGGGGTGAAGATTGGCTTTTAGAGATCAATCTCAGAAGGCTAAAGGACAAGGAACACTTGCTCTGATGGTCCACCAGACCCTGAAATCTCATGACTGGAAATGAAACAGAAAAAGAGATTGTACTGCCTGGATTAGAAGGGCCTTTACTGCCACTGCAAGGAGCGTTTTGTTAATGGAGGGACGTGAATCAGCTGAGAGTGGTTTGATATCATCCTGTGTCAAGTTCAACATGAAGGCGTGATCCTCGAACGCTCTGGAAGCACGGATTGTATTTTATTGGGTCCTGCTGTGAGTGTGTGTTCACCAGAAGGATCGCAAGGGTCTGATTGGAGCCCCCAGGACAGAGACATGCTCCTAAACTACAGTGCCTCGCAAAAGTTATTATACCCACCAAACCAAAAATCTCAATTTAATTCCAATATTTTATTTGATAAACTACGAAGTAGTGCATTCTGGTGAAGTGCATGAAAATCAAATTTTTCATGAGTGTTGGGGATATAAACTGATCCTGTTTAACCACTAACTTCTAAAGGAAATCAAGTGCAACCTTCTGCCCTAATAGTCCACTAAGTAGGAAAATATAACACAGGTGTTAAATGAAAAATTTTAACATTTGGTAAACACCATCAGTGAACAAGCAGAATCATGGTGACAGATGTACACATAAGGAAGAAACATGTAGAGGTGTTTAGAGCTGGGTTGGATTATAGAGGGATATTCCAAGCTTTGAACATCTCCCACAGCTCTGTTAATGTGGAAATTAGGGATTACAGCATAACTTTAAATCTACTAATTCATTGCAAACTATAAAACATATCAGCCTAGCAAAAACTGAAAAATAATCATGCAGTATAAGCAGCCTAGAGGGTCTTTGGAGGAGCAGCAGAGCATGGGTGGGAGAATCAGTTCGCAGAGCAGTTTTTGTCACGTAGTCTGAATCTGGCCTCCATGGAAAAATAGCTACAGGACACCCATATTAAAAAAAAAACAACAACAAATAAATAAATAATGAATAAATAAATTATAAGGGGTCCTGTTTAAAGCAATGTAGAGGTGAGCAGGTGCAACTTTGTCCTCTATATGGATGGATTAGACCAGTGTGGCTTACATGCAAAACCCTGCATGTTGCAGAAAACTGACTGTGCACATCACCTACTGTACTGTAGACCATGCCATCCCTGCTTTAGATAATAGTGGTGGTCACTTGCAAGATGTGACCCTTTACATGAAGTCAGAGCAAAAGATCTGATTGAGATCCATATTCATGCTGACCTTGTTCAAATCCAGACCTAAATTCAACTGGGAAACAATTACAGCATAAAAAGTTATGTTCAGACATCCTGCTACATTCAGCCTGATTTAACTATCGTTATTTTATTTATAAGAAATAATGTAATTCTATTGATGTGCAAAGCTGATAGACATATCCAAATTGCCTGACGCTGTAGTGAATGGTGATTAAAAGATCTGGTTTGTTTTGTTTTCTTGTTCTTTTTTTAATAGTTATACTCTGTGTTTGTCTCATATAATCTCATTAAAATACATTGAAGTTTGTAATTTAACAGGGTAAACAAGATCTGGGAGAAATAATACTTTTGCAAGGCACTATATCTAAAATCTATTCATGTAGCTATAGACTGCGAATAGATGTTTTTAATTTGACCTTTTAAACATGTAAATTGTTCCTTCAAATGTTAAGAATTTAAGCTGCTTTTTAAACATGGTAATCTTCTGTCTGATAAAACAAAAAGGCTAAATCCATTTGAAAACAGTTAATGTTTGTGATTTTAATCTGGGCTGCCTTCCAGACGTTTGCTTTGTGAGCTCATCCAAGTCGCATTTCGAAATGCTACACATCCAGGATGATCGACAGCTGTGGAACAGTGGCTTGGTTGTTTTATCTCACGAGGGCTCTTTTTTCATATGTTTATATCATAAAGTCTTTTTCTGCACCTGTCAGCAGTAAATAGTGTAATTTATTAACTACAACCTGGATTTCCATGTTAAAGCTCAGCTGTGTCATTCAAGACAGGAAGGAGATGAAGATTGAGAGCAGAGGAGCAGCAGCAGCATCCATCCTGCAGTATTCATCTGCTCCGAGGTTTCTAAATCACCTTACAGAGGTCTGACAGTTTAGAAAAACACTTTTTTTTGTGATTTGTTCATCTTTAGCTTTGAATTGATTTTTTTAATATATATATATACACAGAATATGAATTACACATGAACTCCCCCTCCTGATTTTAACTTTCTCCTCTCCTTCATGAATAAAATTCCATTGTTAGTCAGGTGAATTTTGTTATTTTTAAGTTATATTCTGGTAAAAAATGTCTGTATATTTTTTCATATACAGAAATGTCATGATTGATCGCCTCTTGAAAACCCTAATTGGATACAGACATGTTCAATGCACGGCTGACTAAACTGTTGTGGAAACAGTTTAATGCTTACGTTTTAAGATACCTTGGGGTTTTAAACCTGGTGACATACTGCAAATGCATATTTAGTTATAAATGAGTGGGATTTGTAGTGCATAATTTTGAATTTAGAACCAAGTGGATAAGTTTATGTCCAATTCGTTTTGCAAATAAAATCGTGATAAGTGTGTTTAGAGGTGAACTTTGACTGGAGCTTTCTGGTGCAGAGTGAGTTTTGACCCAAACATGATCTAAACACAACCGATCTGTTTTTTCACAATTGTTTCTCCAGCAAATCTCTAAGGCTTTTACAGAACAGATGTAATTTTACAAAAGGTAAATTACACACAGGTGGACTCCTTTTACTAACAGATTACTGTTAGGTATCAGAATATGGTGGGCTGAAACAAACACATGCCAAACTTTAGATTTTAATTTGGAAAAACATACATTATTCCTTCAACCGAATAAAATCTGCTAAAGCCTGAGGTTACACAAGCACTTTCGGAAGAAAAGCCTTTCTGTATTTTTAGTGATTCTTCTATACCAAGAGTTAGATAAAGGATTTCTCTCAGTATTGACTCTCTGAAAAAGAGTAATTTGATGCAATTTGCTTTGCTGCTTCTGAACACAAGGACATTTTTAGACCTTTTGTAGGATAAGTGCACTTCTGATAGAGGTGAAATGATAAAAAGGAAACAAGAAATAATGACCAATGTTTAAGGCGGGCTCTCATTAAAAAAAAAAAAATCCAAGTCCAGTCAGTAGAAACAGAAAAACTCATCTTTTGGACATGTAGATGTGCACCAATGAACATGGTTTCAGTTTTATTACTGTTTAAATGAAGAAAATTACATGGGAAACAGTATCTCATTTCAGATATGCACGAGTGTATATCTGAAAGCTGATTTACCTTATCATGAAAAGGGATGTGTAGAAAATTTGGAGGGGATTAAAATAAACAAGGAAGAGAAGAGGCCCAAGGACTGAGCCATGGGGCGCACCTGATGTAATATGACAGGTAAGATCTTGAGTCGGCTTCCTATAAGGTAAGAACTAACCCACTCTAACAAAGTGTAAATAATTCTAATAAAAGAAGTTTGTGAGACTCAGTTATTGCAGCTATTGAATTTTAGATAAATACAGTTATTACCTTTGATTTTTAGTTGGGTTTACTTGAGAATAGAACAAGAAACATGTGCTCATCAGCAGGACAGGAAACCAATGACTCACCTTCACCCTCGGACGACTGCCACTGCCATTCTTACTTTTCAATCTTGCTCTTTCCATCTGGTTGTGACATCAGACTGTGTCATGCTGAAATAATAATGAAAGGCAGACAGGAAGGAGCTACAAGGTCCCCTCATTATTCCCAAGAGCTGCAAATAGATCCTTTGCTATGTTCATAACCTAGTGCCTGAGCAGCTCTTGTGCTTAAAAATGGTACCAAACTGCCTGATTGGAAGGCACATAGATCAAGGTAACAAAGGGTAATCAAGTACAACAGAGGGACACCTCACCTCCATTATGAGGTCGTAGAGCATTCACTCGATCAATAAAATGTCCTTCATTAGCATTTAGGATGATTTAAGGCCTAATACTGAGCTGGAAAAATGACTAAAAATAACTGCTGCTCTCTTCATCTTTTAAAACTCTCATATATGTTGACAAGAGGGCTGCAGACGGGTCTTTTTTTAGTTTGTTGTTTGTAAAATTCTCAGATCTTACTATCTGCTCATAACTGTTGCTAAAGTTATATTAGGACACAGTATTAGAAGTGAAAATTAGGCCTAGAAAAATGTACATCCCAGCAGTATTTATTTACAACCCTAATTATATAATTACCTAAAATAACCTGACCTATATATGAGATAAAAAGGCGAAATAGATTTAAAAATAATTAGCAGTTTCCTGAATAACAACGAAATGCAGGGCTCATGCATAGAGCAAATGAAAGTACATTCCTTCCTTGCACAATGCATTTGTTTGTATGCAAAGAGCACACTAAGAAGATTAACTCACCTGCCACTCAAACACAAAGAATGAAACATAATTTTTAATCTGAAAATATTTAAATCAAGCAAGGTGTAAAACAAAAACATTCTGAAGCCTCAAACCTCAGGCAAAGTCAAATAAATAAAGCCTGAATCCTGAAAATTAATCACTGCTAAATTGGGACGAGCTCTACCTTCTGCTGAGATTAACATGCAAATCTATCCAGAACAGGTATTATGGATTTGGAAAAATTAACTATGGAGTG